CGGGGATGGCTTGGGTGGGAACCGCTTCCGGAGGTGGAACCATCACTTCTGCTGGCGCCTTCGGAGGTGGAAGGGTTTGGGCTGCAGAGGACGACCCAGTGCTTGCCAGAGGCTGCTCAGGCGACATTGAACTCCTTATGCCGCATTTGCTCCCACCCCCGACCAACCTCAAAAATAAATTGGAGTGGGGGGGGGGGGCAGGGCGGTGTCAAACAATTCAAAGTCATGCAAGATCATGTAAGTGTCATCTTGGCACTCACAGCTTGGACCATAGTCGGATCCAAGAAATCAGCCTGCATAGCCCGATCGATCTCTGCAGCCAGCCGAGCCTTAAATTCATGATCACAAGAAAACAAAATTTTAAACTCATGGGCAGTCCAACTCGGAATTGTCGCAACAAACATCGGAACTAGTCTGGAATAACTCGAACGACAAACAACAAATAGTGTTGGACCTCCATCGGGAAGCAATCTCATCTGGGTCCAACGCAGGAACTTTCTTTCCCGTCTTCCCCATGGCCAAATCCAAGATTGGCAAAGTCGAGCGCCGCAAAAAAAATAGTTAGTTGAGCCTTCACACACCTCGTAGGACACGCCACCGGTAGTGCACAAGCAACACGCCGCGCGGAGCTGGAATGGTCCAGAACATGTTTTGATTGTTCAGTTTTTTTGTACACTTTTTTATGGTTTTTTATGGATTTTTACGGGTTTTTACGCTTTTTTACGGATTTTTACGCTTTTTTACGGGTTTTTATGCTTTTTTACGGTCTTAAGAAGATTGACTGAATTCAAGATATTTTTGGTGGTCGCCAAAACAATTCCTCACACACTTGGCTGGGATCCAATCTCGAGCGTGGAGTGCACAAGCAAAACCACATCAACAACTTGCCGGCACAAGATCTCGTGTGTTTCCACAAGCGCAGTGCTTATGTTGAGGTGCCCCACCCATCAACTTCAAGCAGTTGAATGAATTTAGCTAATCGCCACATAGCTGTGCTACGTGGGTCAAACAGAACGAATTTGCAAGTTTCACATTTAAACCTATCAGAATCAATCAGCTGGCCAGGAGCGAGATAGTTTCAAAAGCGAACAGGTGCCAAGGTATCGAAGCACGTCGTTCAGCCTTGCCTGCCATTGGGAAAGGCAAGGAACAGTTCAAGAAAACATACTAGTCCTCCGTTGTAGCTATATCCATATTTTGTATTATGTATGTATTTTCTTGGATCCTCCTCGACGTATTGTTTGGAATGACCCAATTACAAGTCTTTTTTACACATGCTTGTTTGCACTGCGTGCCGTCACTTGCAAAGCCCCCCTTCACCCTGTGTGTCCAAAACAGGATCACAGACAGGCGCCTCGTCGCTTCCAAATTGCAATGGGGCTGCAAAAAGCAATCGGATGTTTTCCTCCTTCCAACTCTTTGCGCGCAAATTCCCTCAATGAAGGTTGCATGACTTGAAATCAATCAACCCACTGGACAAAACATAAAATATACAGGTTCTCATCATAGGTCTCATCAAGACATTCAAATAGAGGCTCTCGATGCACAGCGCAGCCCCGACATTGTGGAAATCTATCCTTGGGGAAGGAGAGCCGTGGGCGCCTACAGAGCTTTTAACCCGTGTGTGAATTTGTTTTGAGCTGCGTATACTCATATAGTGTTCAAACTCCCAGTGTCAGAGATGTTTTGGTTCATTCGTCTGATGGTCACTACAGGAAGGGTCTCGTATAAACGAAGGGGGGCGCGACCATGATGCCAAGGCCAAAAAAGTTCTTGACTCATGGCCAGTTGCCCTCCATACAAACCACCGCAAGTTAACAGTCCCAACTCAACACAGAAACTATTGGCCAAGTTAGTATCTCAAAACCTTTGGTCACTGCTTGAGACAAGTATGCAACAAAACAAATGTTGTTCAAAACAGAGGTGCCTATAGAAAGACATGAATGCCAATCTTTGGGTGTAAAATTCACACTTTGCAGGTCCATGCAGTACAGCTCAAGGGGTCTGTAAAAGTCATGTAGAAGGAGAGATAATTGGGTCGCCACTGTCGTCACTGTTCAGAAAAGACTGTGGTTGCCTCGTCTCAAGTTCTTACACCCTTTCTTACTAGTTACAATGGGGTCCTTGTCAACCACAACTGAAAAATTCTATAACTCCTTGAGCGGTTCGCTTTTTCTCGCTTATTTGGTCCTCAGAAAATGGGATATCAGGCACCTTCAAAACTCACCCGGAAGTTCGCCCTTTCCAAATTGCCGTCTCCAGGCCCGTCCCCCCCACAAATGGATTTGCGTGTCCTGTTTTTACACGCGTCGTTGTTTGTTGCTTATAAAAGGCCACTATGTGTTGCGTTGGTTCTGGAGGTTAACTACATGAACGCTGAAAAACACAGCCTCATGGGGGTTGCAAGGATAACAATATTTTAAAGTAAATGGGTCTTGCATCTGCAAGACATTTGGGACACCCCTAGCTGAACTCACACCATTCAAGCTTTCCAAAACAGAAACCCACTGCTGCAAAGCCTAAAGAGAAGACCCAGGGTAAAGAACCAGTGTTCTCAATTGAATGTAGGTCACATTCGGCTAGTTAAAAACCTGACAAGGGCTGAAACTGAACAGGTGATTTGACAAGTCACAGTTTGGGCGGCTTGGCATCCTTCCCTCCAGGACTTGATGACGGCTTCCGCAAACAAAGGGGTGTATTCCCTCAGCAAGTGCACAATCCAATGAACAAACCTAACACCGGCTCCACATGTGTTCTTCAAAGGACCCTTGCGTGCAAGGATCTGCGTGGACTGAAGCGCGTTCTTGATTCCAGTCAATCGCTTCTTCCCATTGACCTGGACCCAAAACCAGTGTAGGACGCTATCTACAAAGCTTCAAGGGTTCCAAACCGCGTTGCAGCTTGTTAAATTATATACATGTCACACACAGACATGTATATATATATATATATGGATCGCAGCGTGTGCTTTCCTGGAAGCAGAAACACAATTCGACCATATGCGACTAAGAAACTACAGAGGTTTTCACCAATTGTTTTTCAGCCTTCTTGATTGGGCGCGGCTTCGGTTGCTTGTAACGAAGAAGAGCCTGGCGCCCACAGCTATAAAGCAGAAGAAAGGTTGTTTTCAAGTTCCCTGAAAAATGGTTGAGCTAAGGGGCTGCAAAAGCACGATGGTTCACATACAGCCAGGTTGGCTTGGTTGTCTCCGCGCCGAACCAAGCCATGAGCACCTTTACGCGGTAGACCTCACACCCATCAGCAGGACTAACTGCATGTAAGCACGGACGCTGCAGATTCTGAAACCACAGGTAGTTATGCAACAAAAAAGCCATCCAAGCCACCGTCAGTTCACGCAAAAGCTCTTGAAATTTTGGCAGCGCCTGCATTCCTCCAGTTGAGTTGTGAACAGGTTGCTCCAACAGTGTGAAGATACCTAGAGCGTCAGCGAAGCGCCACAACAGTAGAGTCCTCGCGGCCAACGTGCACAAGAATGAAACACCGTTTACTCAATCGTGCATACAGAAACCACACACAGACGTGAGCGTGCAACCTGTCCTGAAGGCCAATAAATTCCCAACCACAACACCAGGAGTAGGTAAACCCTCTGGCAGCAATACATTGCGACCCGATGTCCACTGGTTGATAAAAGCAAAGGAAGAACCTCACACGAAACGTGCGCAGGGCAAAGGTGGCTGGCCAGCTAAAACGAAGGAGTGCCCTCAACATCTTCTAAAATGCATACTCATGGTTTCCACATAACAAAGACCTCAATGTGGTGCCTTCCACCTGCAATCATTAGACAGAAGTGCAGCACACATTGAAAAGGGGCACAGACAGGAGCGAAGGTGCAAAGTCCACCGCAGCGGACCCGCCGCACACAGATCACAGCAAGCCTTTGCCACTGCAAGCATCGCAACAGGGAAGCATCACAAACACTTCAGGACTTGTGCTTGTTTAACCACACGTGCATCCCAGCAACAAAAATCCTGCAGAGCTTGTCAAATCGAAGGCATCACTGTAGTCAAGACCGAGACCTCTTGACAAGTAACCTTCTCGCGCTGCAGCCTTGACAATCTCCTTGCAGCTTCAAACTGCAATGGCTCAACTTACTGACTGACCCACATCCCGTCATGGGCGTGTAATGTGTTTTCTTGGGTACATCATGCACACGTGTTTGTCCACATGTGAGTTACAGTCCACAACCACACACACAAACAAGGTCGCTAAAGAAACGGTGATTGAAATTGGCCCCAAAGCCAAAAGATTGGCGCACTAGTTCGCAGGTCTAGTTTCCATTTTCCCGGCGAAGATTTCAGCAGCGTCTATATCTCCAATATTAGGTGCCTGCGCATGGCGCACAAACAGTTCAGTGACTGGATGTACGTGGACATGTGCAACGTACAGTGGACATCATGCGGGCAAGAAACAACAACGGGCATATACGCCAAAGCAAAGAGAATTGCAATGAATGCCCGGGGCCTGAATACATGTCAACACGACCAGCCACTATATTGTTATTTAGCTTGCAAAGCTAGAGTACTGTAGCAAGCTGTTTATTGCCTAATTTTCAGTCAAAGCCGCAACCCTGCAGCAAGCATGCGAGCTACATGTGGTCGGGCAGCAAAGCGCCCCATGATCACTTGCCCACAGGATGTCTCCACGTCAACTACCAAACAAGCTCGGACCACACTGGATGAGCCACGCGCAAAAACAAGCAACGTGAGCGGTGAGCGCGCCCACAAAGCCATGCTTGACAATGAGAAAGTGATAGAAAACTCGAATCGAACCCACATAGCGATGGCCTCTACCCTACTAACTAGCCATGGCCTCCTACCCTAGTAGCGATACAAAAACAAGGTCTGCTCCCGGCTTTCCGTTTTTATTTCAACATGCTGCCACCGAAGCGTCCTCGCGCCGCCTCTGAGCACACGCATTCAGAAACACGGAGCTCTTAAGCTTAATTAAGTGGAGATGTAAGGTGACAAAACGGTACTTGGCAAAAGTCTCCTGCCAAGAACACTGCTCCTCGGATTGGCCAGATAAGAATAGCCTGTATCGCAACGTCAGTCGCCGTTTCCTCCGTTCAGACTCGCTCATGTTCTCAAGGATTGTCCTGGCCGCAGCCCCCCAAACAATCCCAACAGCGCCCGACCATTTCTGCTACGCAATAATTGCTAGTCCACTGCACCAATGTTTGTTCGTACATGTATATACTATAGTGAAGTCCTGCGGATAGCTGACAGTTTCCATATTTGATTTGCTTCCTGCAAGTAATGGAAACCCATGAGCTGCAATTTCACAACGCAGGAACAATGTCAAATTCAGCGTACACGCGTTGAGCCTCATGTGTCCGGCCAAGACTGCGAGCCCTTCGCATGAACTCATTGTAATGCGCCCAAAGTGGGCCACCTGATTGATCCTCAATCAGCGAACATACCACAAAGAAAAGTGCACATACAACTCTGTCGCCTTCTTCGCCTTGGGTTTGTCCGGTTCGCACTGCCCTTTTGAAAGAGATTGGCCTTGACGCGGGTCCTCTTGGAAGTTTCTCAGGGCCAAACGACACTGTGCAAAAATGTTTTGGGCAAGAAGAACACTGGCTTCACACAGCATAAACTCCTCCACTTCCCGCACCGTTGTCCCCTGATTGATAGGTTCTTCGGTATTCAAGCTCGAGCTGTGCTTTCTTTTGTCAGTATACGTCTGAGTCTCCCAAAATGTTTTTAGCGCTGTTGGTTCAACAAAAGCACTGAATGTTCAAGAAAACATGCCTGCCCATCAATCACCGGCGCTTCTCCGCTTGGGGGAACCTGAGCAGTTCAGATCAAACCAAAATTGCATGTCGACAAAGTAGCTGCACACGCAACTTGGGGTTGTGCCTCCGCGTGAGACACTTCCACCGGCGCTGGTAGGTTAACGCCCGGCGCTAGCTCATATGGAAGTGTATCCTCTGACTACCAGAGAGGGTGATTTTGTTCAATGAATTTGGCAGCAAAGGACCGGAGACACAAAAAGGTCCTCGTGCAATTCATCGATATGGTTCTTCCGAGCCAACGATGGCCCTGATGCAGCCGGATCCTTTCCAAGCAGGGTGCATTCAAAAACACCGTTCTTTTTTTCCACGCACACGAGACTGCAAAACAATCGCATATTCTGCTGAAAATAGCGCAGTACGGTTGCCTGGTCATTTGCAAATGATGTTCCTCCTGCCTGACAGGAAAGCACATGCGCAAAAGACTTTTAACATTAGCTGCACAAACGATGGCAAGGAAACAACCCAACAGCGGGTATGAAGTGTGCCTTCGGTGTACTAGCATCAGCGCCCCTTCCTGCAACAACACCGCTCAAAGAACATGTGAGCGCAAAAAAAAGTAAAGCCGGTCCTTCACTTGGTTCACATGTTGTCGCTGCCTGCAATCTGTTCTTGAAAAGCTTCTTGTGCTGGGCTGTCGGGTCAAACCCAACAGGTGGGTGTTTTGCTAGGACGCGAAGGACAGCTTCAAGACAAGCTGGCTGGTCCACGGTGGGAATTTTGTTTGAGGCTGCCTGTTTGCTCTCTTTTGCCTGTGGAACAGCATCAGCCACTGGACCAGTGAGCTGGGTCTCCATCGTGTCCATGTGGCTTCCTACAACAAGTCAAAAGAAATTACAGCGCACGCATCCAAGAAAACAAGTTCTTATGCGCAAACTTGTTGCGTGCGCCTTCCGGTTTCCTGGTGAATTTCTTGACCATGAGTTTTTCGCCAACCTTTTGTTTCAAAGGCAATAGCCAGTCCCGAGCCTAGAGCAGAAAAGGACAAAACCAATGACCCATTATACAGTAATGGCTTGGAAATTGAGCAAACACCACTATATATAGACAAGACGCTTTTTTTGTACACCCATTCGATTTCTTTCGTTGACGAACTATCCACACTGCCTCAAAAATGCAACAATGCCTGACACAAATTTGAACAAACGGTTCATCAGTTTAACACCAACAAGCTGCCATTCCCTTCAACGCAACGGCTTGCGCGTGAGCCAACCCAGAATCACAATCTGCTTCACCAAACTTGGTGCGTATCGCTTGTTCGATTTCATCTACACTCATCACACGGCCCAAGTTCTCAAAGACCTCCAAAGACCTGTGCCAGTTTTGGGGAGCAAGACTGCAATACCTCAACGCGCACCAAAACAAAATTAGGAGATGGACAATGTTTGGTGGTGGCGCCTCCCAAGAACGGAAGCGTTCGGTTGAAAAAAATTGGCCCTGTCATCAGGCCGCATGTCATCAATCTCTTTTTGATCTTCATCCACAGTAATTAAATCATCCTGCCAAGCACTTCAAGTGAAAAGTATGAACCATCCTTCCAGCAAACAACGGCTCAACAAATCGGAGGATTGCTTTCGTAACTCTCAATCCTGCTTCTGGCAGTCGAAGCATGCTGAGAGCAACTGCACATCGCGCGACGGCTGCTGTGCGGCCGACATTGCGCTGCGCACCCTTCTGATGCACTCAAACCAAAATATGCGGGCGAATCAGTCACTCCTTCACTTATGAATCTAGATCGAGGGCCTGGAAACGCAGACCACTCACGGCACGCAGGAAAAACACAACCGCCGCCGCCAACAAAAACGCCATGAAGGGACGTGACATCCTCCAACAGCAACAAGAACAACACGCAACCCCCCAAACAACAATGACCAACACACCAAAAGAACAACCAACCAAGCGGGCGACAACAACAAAACAGCTCCACTAACATTAACCACAACACCCGCGCGCAAGTGACACAAAGAATTAAACAAGTGACAATGACACGACCATGAGGAAGCGTTCTGAGAGGAACGATGGTGTCAAAACGAGGAACTGGCCTCCTGAACCTGCGAATCCTGGATAAAAATGTGGTCGGACACATATACATAGTATATATATGTATTATGTATATATACGCTCTTAGGTTTTTAGTTTGCGTGTGTTTGCAAACAGCTGTGGTAACCAGCTCGAAACGCATGTAGACTCCATTCCAAAAAATCAAAGTTCGTGCGACCACGGGACCTCAACCGGACCGCAACCGTTAACTGCAAACAGTTTGTGCTCACGGTTTCCCCGCCGGACCTCAGCCGCAAGCGTCGGATGGCAGTGTTCCCCGCCGAACCTCAACCGCAAGTCTCGGATGGCAGTGTTCCCCGCCGGACCTCAACCGCAAGTGCCGAGGGCAGTGTTCCCCACCGGACTTCAATTAACCGCGAGTGCATGTA